TCGTAAATATTATTTAAAGGCAATAAAACATGTAACTAAACAAACATATAAGGGAATGAACATTGTTATATGATAGTACTAATTTCTATAAAAGGAAGTTAGCCGACAGAATTAGTATGAATTGTGGAAGTTGTTTACACGATGAAAGAAGGAAGCGGTAGGAGTTGATCTATGCTTAAGTAAGGTCAGAAGGTTTGAATCCTGTCTTGTGTATGTAGCCGCGTTAAATCTTGGGGTCAGCTATCCCATCTTTTAAGGTACCTCTAACGTAATGAGAAGATTAGTCACTATTATCGGCGGTAGATACTCCATGGATGAAAAAAATAAAATAAAAGAAGGAAGTGAGTTAAAGTTTGGAGAAAATAATAAGTAATAAGTGGTAAAGAAACGTCATCGAATACATCCATTGAGGCAGGTACACAACTATGGCAAGAGTGGCGCAATAATTTGTTAACCGAAAGGTGGTTGTGCCAATTAATCAGCACCACAAAAATTCATTATATTCCTTCCACACAATGCCACCTTTATGCCATTTTTTTCACCTTATAATCATGTAATAGCTTTCTCAATAACCAAAAACACTTGCTTCAAATAGTTGCTTTTCTTGTTTTTTAACTAATAATGGGAATTTGATTTTAAATTTAGATATGGAGTTACGGTTTGAGGTATCATTTTACTTTTATAATAATGAATTCGGTGAGAATGAGTTATCTCTCTTTAATAAATAAATAAAATTGTAAAAATTTATTTTTTTTTACTAAAAATATAGCTTTTTAAGTTTAAAAGTATTTAATTTTCACACATTTCAATACCAATATACTACATCCAATCCTAATCATAAGAAAATAGAAGACAAATCATCAAGATTAAGAAAAATAACTAATATGATTATTTTTAATTAATTTTATCATAAATTTAAGTTTTATCTCAAATTTATCATTTATTTTAAGTGACTGTTATATTTAATGTTAATTATAATTTAATGAATAGAAAATAGTTATTAATAAATAAATTATATAAAAAAAATAGGATATGTTTGAACAAACAACTTATTTAATATCTATTCAATAAGTTCTTATATAATAAAAACTTATATTATAAGTACCTAAAATTCAATAAATTGTTACATTTAGATATACATCTTAACAAACACTTTTATAATTCTAAAATATTTTAAAGTATCGTTATTTAAGTAATGTTATTTCACTTTAAAAATTAAAAAAAAAAATTGACTAAAAAATAAAATAAAAAGGCTTAAAAGTATTTTTGGTTGTTATTTTTTCTGTGATCATTTTTTTTTTATTTATTAAAAGATTAAGTGAACTCTCTCTATTACAAACAACTATTAATCATATCATGCTATTACTTGAAACTTCTAGAAATTTGTTTAAATCTTTAAAATATTTTTTATTCATCTATCTTAAAATCACTATTATGATTAAAAAATAGTAACTTTGAATTTTAGAAAAATAAAAATAAAAAAATATTTTATAGGAATAAAACAAAATTTATTTATTTTATGAAAATCAAAACAATGTTTATAGGTTTTAAAAGGATGAAAAATAAAAAAAAAATTACATGATAAAAATCAAAATTCCTATTTTTATATGGATTAAAAACATATTTAAACAAATAAAAAAAGTTACTAAATAATTTTTAAAAATGACATTATAAATAATTATTATTACTTATAATTAAAATCAAAGAAAAGTCTAATTTATTAATTATAATTAAAAGTCCATAGTACTATCCAATATAAATATGTGGTTGAAATTAATTTAGCCACAAATCTCGATCATTAAATGATTTAAAATGAATTTTATCCTAATTAATTTTAATTAATCTCTAAAACAAACGTGCATTTATTTTTTTACTCTAATTTTAATCATATTCTCAAATTTAAAAAATAATTATTAATTATTATATTATTTTCTCATTGCATTAATATTTTCTTATATTACTAATTATATACACTAAAAATATCACTGAAGTTGAAGACTAATGCTCTCTTTGAATTTTGAAAAGTCAAATGACTTAAAACAAACTAAAATTTTGAAAACATTTTTTTTAAATAAAAAGAGAGAAATATTTTTTTATCAACTTAAATATGTTTAAAATTGTTTCAATTATGACTGTCATGTTTTAATTTTTACAACAAAAAAAATATATTGTCATTTTTAGTTGCTTATATTTTCTTAATGTTTTTCTAATCCTTACTATTAATTCTAATTGATTTAGTGTTGACATAATAACCAAAAATATATTAACTAATATTATTAAAGTGATAAATAATGTTTAAATCAAATAATTAAATTATTTGTAGATATATACTTTAATTAAGTAATATATTTATTATTTTATATAAATAAACTAATTACATATAATTTTATTTTTTAATTTATTTTTAATATTTCTTAATTTATTAATTTACATTTAAAATTATATTTTATTAACATTATAATTTACTCAGACACTTATAATATACTTTTAATATTATTTTTACATCTCAACTCATTAATTTTGATATATTATAATATAATTACTTTTTTAATATGTTATAACTAGTGATTTTATCTCCAAAGACAAAAATAATATATTAAAAGTAAATTAGAAGTGTCAAAGTAAATAATATATTTTTAAATTACAATACTAAAAATGAATTAATGAATTAATTTTTTTAAAAAAATATTAAAATCAATAAAAATAATAATTAAAGCATATTTAATTATTTTAATTATATAAAATCATAAATATATTACTTAATTTAATTATACACCTAAAAATAATTTAATTATATAATTTAAAAGGATTTGATTCTTCTAAGGATTTGACTCTTCTGAAATGAAAGAGAATAAAATGTACTCATAATTTTTTATTATAAAATCAACTATTAAGATTTGTGATGAAATCAAATTCTTGTAAAATAAAATTTAAAATTAATTATAATATATTAATTTTTTAATCAATAATTTTTTTACACTATTTAACCAATAATTATTATTACACCACTCTCAATCTATAAGAGATAGATCCAATTTAAAATATTATTTATTATCTTAATTAATATTATTTATGTTGTTACTTATGTTAATACTAAATTAAATAAAGTAAATAATAAGACTAAAAAAACCCTAAAATTATGTTAAGATATAAAAATGATAAAAGAAGACTATAATAACTAAAACAAAATAAAATTTAGGTGAAGTTGAAAAGCCTTTTTTATTTTAATGTTAAAATGTCACATATCAATATTTCAAAACCTTTACCATTACCATATGCGTTCGAACTTGAAATACAATTAAAAAATTGCTATAATAGAAACAATCCGGTGCTCCTTCCAAACCAGTTTAGGCAATTAAGGGATCCATTATCAATATTTATATTTTAATATGAACAAGATAATTATTTTAAGACTAATTAATTATTGATACACTCCAAAGTTTAGAATTTGGATGCTTCAACTTATGGATAACATCTATCAGCCTTAAATTATATTCAAACTTACAAGCTTTTCATTTTGCATACGCATATTTTGACCATGTGGAACCGAAAAGTTTGACCATGGCAAGCCAATCTTAACAGTGATTAACATATCCAACAATTTGTTTTTTCTTGCTATTCTTTACAACTATTTTATCTTCTTTGGTCAATCATTTATTTATTTGTTTTCTGGGCTTAGTCAATCATTGAATGATTTATACTTCCCACTTTCTTTGTTCATCCCTATCGTATTGGAAGAAGTTCAAAAATATGCTTTGGTCAAATTAATTGGAAGAGGATAAAGATGAAATGTGAGATGAATATTATATACGAATAAGTGCCAACCCCACTCTTTCAATTTGCATAATTGGAGTCCTCTATGTTACATCAGCACTTTTTGAATCAGAACCCCACCTCACATCACCATCACCTTAAAGTTCATGTTAATCTCATACTATTCAATTTGTTAATTCAATAATTTTCTCTGAATCACTGGTGTATCATTATTAATTGTAGCATGGTATTACTTATCATTTCAGAGTATAACAGAATTGAAATCCAGAAAAAGAAAACATATAAAACTAAAACACACAATCTTAATTGGAAAATATCAACTGCTTCGGAGACAACTCAAGAATTAGAAAATAGGTTGAGCTGGTGGAAGAAGTTTTTCACATTTGAATCCTTTCAGAACAAATAGAATAAGGGTGTGTTTGTGTTGCAGTTATGTTAACGTAACTTCTGTTACTTTAAAAACACTTCACACTAAGAAGCTGCATGAAACCATGTGTGGTCATCTGCAACAAAGTCTGAACAATTTGCAAAAAAGGTTTTAAGGGCTTCCTCCTCTTTTTCCATAGATATTTATGTAGGTAAAAGTAACTGAGGCACAATCAGTTGTCCTGTCGTTAATCTCATTGGCGTATGGACAAGCAAATTGTTTGAAAGTTAAGCATTACAGTAAGCATGAGTGGATAATGTGGTCCCTTGCACCGGCTTGAGACTTGAGAGGGTTGTGGAGTTCTAGCTCTCAGTCAACTCCACAAGCATTAGAAAGAGAGAGACATGTTTGGCTGATAAAAGTTCCTGTATGAATAGGATGCTATTTTTGTTCTTCAAATAGAAAGTCCAAATATATTATAAAAAAAAAATCCTAACAGTGTGTACCCTATTCTATGTTTGGATTGATGAAAACAAATGAAGACAAAATAAAAGGATTGAAAGGAATGGAGTGGATTGGAACACATTATAGAATGAATCAATGGATAAGTTATCATAAAATAAAATAATAAGTCTTTAGCTTAAGTAATTTTGCACTTGTGTACCTTAATCAATAAACAGTTTAATTTCTAATTTAGACATGAAACTACAACCGAAAATAACACTTTATTCTTATAAGAACTGATTCAATAGGAATGAGTTATATCTCTTTATATAACCAAAAAAAATGAAAAAAAAATCCTATTATACCATCATCCTTCCAAATCGTGAGGAAAGAAAAGTGAAGGCAAACAATAGAATAAGAATAAATTCCATTAGTTCCCATTATATTTCATCTTCATTTTATCAAAACGAACAATGGAACATAACAGTTAACATCATTGTGCTCACATTCCTCTTCATTCCATTCTCTTCCACCAATTCAACTATAGGTAATGATAGATTCATACCCTGGAATACTAAATTACATTGGAAGTACACTTCTATCTTTTCATCCAAAAATAAATAAAGTACACTTCCATCCCAATGTTGAAAATGGAAGGAAGAATCAATAACTCATTCTTCAGACTGAAATTTAAGACTAAGGTCAATGTGAAATTGTGAAGAAATTGGAAAATTCTGACTACATAATCGAAAGCCATCATTTTTCACTGAGCCTATATGTACAGGGTTGAGAATTTCTTCATATCCAAAAATTGCAAGAGGCTCATTGTATAAGTTGTAAATGTCAGAACAAACTTGGTTAGATGTCTAACGGATGTTGGTTTGCCTCACTTTTCGGGTTATGGACCTTCCCATGCGAAGACGCCTATTTGTGAGGGCATCTAATAGGACTGTTAGAGCATGTTCTACTGCTTCTTCCTGTTTATCCAATCCAATGGAGCTAAACTGTGGAAGGACTTGGAGCTCCGAGAGCAGGCCAGCAGCAGCTGCCGCTGTGCATGTACGATCCCAAGACGGCTGTGGCCTGCCCTTGAAATACAATAGATGACCTTAGATTACATTAAACACAGGAAAGTTTATAAAAAATAGAGCAAGGGGAAAAAGCAGCCACATTTATTTTGTAGCACAGGTGTCAGTTAATTTCATTTTCTTACTCACCGAAGTTTATGCATTGAAGAAGCACCAGGATTTAGGGATATGCAAGCAAGGTCCTCGTCTCCCCAAACTAACTTTGCTTTATCCTGTTGGAAATAAAATTTCATACCAAATTACATACCAGACATATAAAAAATTGTAAATGGTGTGTCAGCATAAATTAATTCATTCCATTGATTTTAGAAACTTATATGGCTCTGATGATCCAAATAAGTCATCATCAAATATGAAATCCTATTCGTCATAGGTGGAAGTCTATGATCCATCAGCTCTTCAACAATAGTATGTTTTTCTATCCAAGGTTACACGTCGGATAAATTTCTCTCAAAAGGCTGCTTCAGTATATTGAATCTGTAAGAGAAACTCGACCTTTAGAGAAATTCCATATAATGACTAATTTTTGTATGGCCTGCCTCATAGATATTCTCATCCTGAGGTGAAAAAGTGTGATAAAACAGTGTATTAAATAGTCATATCCACATCTGTGTTCTAATCACATATCAAAATGAAAAGGATATTATAATTTATTTGCTCTAGAGGCTATCTTTTGATTCTTTTCCTCACATGAGAAATCCTAATGCCACAATTGCTGCGTCTTTCTCAATAAAAAGAACAAGTATTTGATCATAAACAATGCTAGCTTCAGTCAACACTGTTTGATTAAAAGTTGACCTTCTGGGTTGACGACTTGAACTTGTAACAGAAGAACAAGACTTCCTCCTTGGCACACACATTACATGGACACACTACCAATAGGACAGAGAGGATACCGTGTGACTCTAACATGTGTGAGAGGACTACAATTCTAGAACATTTGAGTATTTCATATAATGAGATTTTATCCTGCCTTAGCACCCTTACAATCATGAAACAGATTAATTTTGTGCTGTTCAACTAGAATCATGTTATGAAAAATTTGAAAAATATACAACTTAAGAAAAGGAAGAAAAAAGCCACCCAAAATTAACCTGAAGGCGCCTAAACATTGCTGCTGAATTGCTCCATGTCCCATCAATGAAAATAAAATGCTGGACTGTATCTACTTTCAACTGCTTCATAATCAAAAGAAAAATATTACCTGATTGCACCAAATGTAAAACAGGGAAATCTACATTAAAATGTTAAAAGCACGTAAGCAACATCTTTAACTAATATTTATTTTACAAGTGGCATTAACTCAACATCAAATAACAAAGATATTCACTTTAGAGTGAAAGACCACTAGCAACTGATAAGTTATCATTGCAGTGCCAATAAATCCATTTAAGTTTGTATATTTACTCACATCCTAGCCTAGCAATGTAATTCAGTACTTAAATTATGAATTGGCTGTAGATTCTGTATCAAGTTTTCCTAGTCAGTATTCAAGTGATAAATTCAAAACAAGTGAGTTCCGGGGAACTTCTATTGTAAGCTATTCTTGCTCTTCTTCACATTCAATAAAAATTCTCTCTTTCTTTCCATTAACATCGGTGTTCTTAACCAGTATCAAAAAAAATAAAATGAATACACAGAAGAAGGAAAGTAATTGACCAGAATCAAATAGTGCATATAACATCATGGTGCATTCACATGCCAAACTCTCCAGCACAGGCAAAGTCACTAGCATTATTTCTTAATCCACAACTAAAAATATAGTAATCACTACAATGTTTAAATACAACCTTTGATGGTGCAACTTCATCACTTGTAACTGATTCCTGACCAAACACGTTTTGAACTGACTTTAAAACTACACTCTTGTTGGGATAAAGGCACCACACGTTACTTTTTCCTGAATTAAGGACAATGCACAGCCAAAGCAATTGAGTTCAAAATGAGCACCAGGTTCAGATACTAAAAGATACAGAACAGTACATTCAACATAACAATGACACTATTAATTTAAATCATGCACCAGTATCTAAATTGATAGCAGGAATCCACTTTAAACATACTACCATAATAAGAAGCTATTTGAAATGAAGAAATATAATCATTTATCCCGTCTGAATTTGGTATAGAACATTATATTTTTCTGAGTGTTTTTAATGCAGCAAGAGTTGGTGATATTAAACTTTCAAGGAACAATAGACAGAAGAAATTGTAGAGATAATAGATGCTAGAATATGAATCAAAATCCAACAATGTGTGTGTTTGGACTTGCATTGATAGAATTGATGTTAGATTAACGTGATTTTGTAGAATTGAATGATTATGGCTAACATTGAGTTTGAAGTAATGTAATTTTTGTTTGGATAACAAATATTAGAAAAATGATGTTTTGAGAAAATATTGTTTGCATACTTTGAATCAAAATCGATTTTGAATGTGTAATTACCAATATGGATTTCAAAGTCTATGTATATTTCCTTTAAAAGGCAAAGGTGAGGATAAATGAGAAAAATACAACAACTAAAAGTTCAAAATTGATTTTGGAAGAAGTAAAAGCAACTCCTGATTAGTTCAACCTCACCATGATTTTTCCAACCCCACCATGATTTTATTTATTAACCAAACATCATAAATTTTAACCAAACCAAGTTTGATTCAACTCACTATTGTCCACCATGGTTTCACCACCAAACCAAACACACACTACATCAATAAACAAAAACAACATTCACTGCCAATTTACACAAACTGAGACCTGCCATTTTAAAGGAATTCCACATGATTTCCTCGTGTTCAGGAATGCAAAAAATGCACAAAGTGGCCGCATCACCCCCAACCCCCTGCCACAAAATTTTCCCAGTGTTGTTCTGTCTCAAGAAATCCTGCATGTGATGACCAAAAGGTAAAAGCATCATGAGAAACAGGTAAAACCCCAAAAAGGATATAACCACCAGAAAATTTCTAGGTACATCTAAACCTTGGGATGCATATACAGCCAAAACTTCATTCCGGGGTAGAGCGTGCAGGATGTGACTTTTGAACACATACAATCCTCCATGGGAAGCCAACACTAGAAAAAAAAAAAAAAATTGGAACCAAAATACTTTCATCACCAGAAGCAACAAAAACTACCTGAAACTGATACCACTTTAAGAAGCAACACTGTTTTCTGCATTCTCTTTTTAATACTCTATTATCGACCAAAATTTATTGAAAATCATAAATTTTGTGAACTACGGATCTTAATTAACGAGTCTCTCTTTATTTAATGATAAGATTCAATAAATTTTGTAATTTTCAACTAATAATAGAGAATATCAGGAAGAGAGTCTTAAAGAGAGTGTGCTTGCTGCAAGCATTGATTTTAAGAATAAACAAACCTTCTGACAAAGGTAACCCCTGCTACCTAGTATGCGACAAGCTATCTGTCTGGCTGAATAAAATTGGAGCTTCTTCTCCGAATCACCCAAAGCCTGATACGTTGCACGGTGTTTCTTATCCTCTTGAACTCTGAAATTCCCCTACGCATCCAAAAACCCAATCAACTAAAACCGAAACGAAAAAAGGCGTGATTTTGATGAGGGGGGTACCTGAAGCTTTCCACCATTGCCGCCAAAGCTCATGTGGGCATCCAGGTCTTCTTCGAGAACCTTCAAATCCTCGACGATTTGCGCAACCATGGTGGGGAGCGGTGAGGTGGTGCCCCAACCCTGCCATTCCTGCAACGAGACAACCCCTTCTTGGGCCATGTTGTTAGAGAGTGATGAATGACGATGGTAACGGTAATGGTGAGTGAGTAACACGCGGGTTTTGTTCCAGAGCCAGAATGGGAATGAGACAGAGCATTGAAATTGGAAGGGCCTTGTCCAGGACATTGAGATACCAAGCTTCGATTTTTCCACTGTGTCTTGCTTCTCAATTATCCGAAACAGCCCAAATTTGAAAGTGTGGCCCATGCAATGTTGGTGAAGGCAGACAAGAAAAATGGGTAAGTAAAAGTCTCCGATTTTCATAATTACACCTCAAATTATTTATAAATATACCTTATTTTTTCTAGTATAAATAATTTTTAGTCATTTAAATATGACTTAAATTTGTTTTTATTTAATTTATTATTATTATTTTTAGTTATGTAATTTAGAAAAAAAATACTTATTTCAATCCTATACTTAAATTAATGTTAAATCTATCAAATAAAATTCACTTATTATTGAATTTATCGTATAAAATTTATCTACTGATATTTTTATTGGTGAAATTATTGTATTAATTTCATATAATATTGTACAACTAACTTAATGTGTATTTAATTACAAGTCTTTGATCAATGTTGAATTGTATTTTGACCTCAAAATTAAGAAATTGTTGTTGAAGTGGGCATTGAAAGTGACGTGACGTAATGCTATATCAAATGGATACTCAATTTGTCATTATCAATGATGTCAATGATGTTGTTGTCGGTAATCCAATATGTTACTATCAATGATATTAATGGTGGTCATGAAGAGTTGAAATAAATTTTTTGAAATTATAATGACTTAAAAGATCGATTTAAATTTAATGGATTAGAAATAATTTTACTCCAAATTTAAAATAAGTCTATCAATTTTATACTTAGACATATGACCTAAATGTTTATGCTATAAGAAAACACTTTTTTTTTAAATTTAACTTACACATTGTACTAGGAGTATTTGTCTACAAAGTCATGTTTTGAAAAATATCATCTAGTATATATAAATCATCGATTAAAGAACCATAATCAACATTTAAATCATAAAAGAGACCATCTTTAGTATTTTTAATCAATAAGAATAAGTAATTTTATCCAAACTAACAATAGAAATTGAATTTCGCCTAAATGGTGGTGTAACATTTTTTTTATCAACAAAACAACATTTCATTCATTAAGACATTTGCAAATGGGTATAAGTAATACCCAAACCATCATCATACCAAGATTACAAGCCATACTTGCAAAGTTAAATGTTCCATCAATTGATTACTAAGTGTTAAATATTGAAATTGCATTTAGCACCAAGTAACCAACATTACTTGCATTAGAAATTGTTTATATAATGACTTGAAACGTCATCACACTTAATATAGTTCAATTACTATGTAACAGAAATACTAAATAACATTCAACTATCTTTGGGTTCTCATGCGATAGTTACCTGGTCTTTCATGAAAGTTATACATGTATAGAGTAGAGAATATAATATTGAAAAATATAAGATTCTTTTATGGGGTTATATGCACACCCTATACACATATACAATCTACATCAACTACATAACTGTATATAAAAGATCCCTAATCGTCGGTCAAACGTCTATACAAAAACACTTGCTACCCTTAGAGTGGTAAATACAAAGCCAGGTCACCCCCAACATGACCCTTCACCAGCTAACCAAAACCTCTTGCTAATCTTATCCTACTTTCATACGAAGTATGATCATAGGAGTTTCAACTACAAGAAAAACACAGGGTAAGTTTGTAAAAGAATTCAATATACACAACAACATAATGTAGCAACATAAGTAATTTAAACAACCATAGATATTAAAACAACACCACTTCATCTCATCACCAACTATAACACAATACAACTTATAACATAACACATCTTAACAACTTTAGCATAACAACATACTCAATATAAACAACAATAAGCAACTAATTCGTCGTCATACATATCAACTATAGAGATCTCCTACAATAGAGGTAAATAGTGTAAGTGATTGGACCCTACTGAATCGCAACGCCTGACCTATCACAATCAAGACAAGTATAAACAACGTTAGGCCTCATCAAAGTGGCAAGTATACAACTTAAATTGATTTCTCATATTTCATCACTTAAACTAAGAAGTTTAGTATTCTTATCAAGGTAGAGCAATTTGGGTATGAGCATACCATGACAATAGCTTGCAACACAAAATCTCCTATGAGATTAGTCTACCAACTATTCTCCAAATATTATACCCGTCCAATACTTAGTTAGGAACTAAGTCCTTAACCTTGTACCTTACTCAATTTATCACTTTATACATGTATAGCTCGACATGGCTCCTCATATGGATACCATATAAAATCTAGAGGAGACAACTTAAAACAACTACTCATTCAAAAGTTAACTTACTTACTGAAGGGTTATCAACTTAAACTCTCAAAGTACCACAACTTATATCCATACAATGAGATATCTTAAATTTTCAAAAACAACATTATTCTCCCCTAGTTTTATGTATCTCAAGTAAGACATATACCTTCACCAAATTCCTAACAGTTTAACAACTTGATCAACTATAACATCATACAACTTTACAACTTAAGCATTTATCGACTTACAACTTATCAACATAAACATCACTATACAATTATATCAACTCAATGCATAATGAATTATCCTCATACAACATTCATCATGTAAATAAATCATCGTCCCAATTTATAAAACAACTTAAAACATCTAATATAAATCATACAACTCATGCTCGATGCTATTAAAATAGGAGGCTTCCTATCTCGCCCCACATTCAACGTCAAACATCTCACACCTAACGTGGATGAGATAGAGAGTCTCCCACTTTCTCACACTTGGCATGGCTAAAACCCATATTCAACCCAATCAAGTAGAAGACCTCTACTTGACTCACATTCGACATTAATCCATTGGCGCCCACGTCAATTCAAGTGAAAAAAAATTATCTCTCCTTGTGCTTGGCACTATTCAAACTCACGTTCGGTGTGACCAAGTTAAAGATAATTCTCTCTCCTCACATCCGACGCTACCAATTCTATGTTCGGTATGAGTGACACAAAACACCTTGATTCGAGTCATGCCTAATGATGTGAACCCAGAGGGATGGATTCGTTTTACGGATCTATCTAGGTTGGAAAGCTCATAATTAAGAAATTAAAAGAAAAAAATATGGATTGAGGTAAGAAATGGAAGAACAACGCCACAATTCCTAAAGATTGATAAGTTGAGGAAGATTCGCCACTTTGAATTAGGAAATTCAAGGATAAGAATCAAAAGTAGTTCCTAAGAACCTAGAGAGAGAAAATCCTCTCAATTGGAAAAATATCCAAATTCTGAATAATTCATTTTTTCCCCAAACTTTTACAAATGGTTCCTATTTATAAGCTTAGATGGGCAAGATGACATAAATTCCCACTAACACTTAATATTGACTCTTCACTAGCCCACTAACTAAGCAATAAATTCCCACTAGCATTTATTTCCCCTTAGCAACCTAAAAGGCAAGGCAACCTATCATATTTATTTAATAAAATAAAATAAAACGAAAATTACATTAAAAATAAGATAATGAACTTATTAATTATTCAGTCCCAAACTACTTAAATTCCTAGTCCATTATTGCTTCTATGATATGAACCCAGAGGGATGGATTCGTTTTACGGATCTATCTAGGTTGGAAAGCTCATAATTAAGAAATTAAAAGAAAAAAATATGGATTGAGGTAAGAAATGGAAGAACAACGCCACAATCCCTAAAGATTGATAAGTTGAGGAAGATTCGCCACTTTGAATTAGGAAATTCAAGGATAAGAATCAAAAGTAGTTCCTAAGAACCTAGAGAGAGAAAATCCTCTCAATTGGAAAAATATCCAAATTCTGAATAATTCATTTTTTTTCTTCGTCCTAAAATTTTTACAAAAGGTTCCTATTTATAAGCTTAGATGGGCAAGATGACATAAATTCCCATTAACACTTAATATCCACTAGAATTGACTCCTCACTAGCCCACTAACTAAGCAATAAATTCCCACTAATTCCCACTAGCATTTATTTCCCCTTAGCAACCTAAAAGGCAAGGAAACCCGTCAGATTTATTTAATAAAATAAAATAAAACAAAAATTACATTAAAAAATAAGATAATTGACTTATTTAATTATTCAGCCCCAAACTACTTAAATTTCAGCCCATTAATCATTCTTCTTTATCATATGACTTTGGGCTTGTTAGTATTCAATTTTACCCTGTTGGATTCACATCACCTAACGCTATGAAGGTGCACTTGGCATAATGATGAGCTTTACACTTTCCAAAAGCTCATTCCACCTTAAACTTAGCAAATAACCAACATGAATTACATCATAAAACATCTAAGAACCATAAACTGTTGAAAAATAACTTCATTTACAACATGCAACCACTATAAGTCATGGATCATCAAATCTCTTTTAAAACACAATCAAAAACCCCAACACCACATATTCATCATCTCATTCAAAATTTCAATCCAAAAACAACCACGAATAATGAAATTGAATAGCAAATCATCATTGAATCACAACAATCATCAAAGGAAAAGGAAGAACTCGAAGTCTCCAAGGTCTTCACACGATTTCCACCAAACTCGGATTCTCAACTCTTGAAGCTTTGAATCCTCAACTTGATCACCTTGAATTAGCTATACAGAAGGATTGAAGAAGGATTTTTAGTTAGAAAGAGGGAGAAGGAAATTTAGGCTCCATAAAACTTATCTCTAACTTTTCTTAAAACATGAACTTATGAGGTTCATGTCTTAAGAAAAATCTTGTATACTCTTCTTTAAGTTGAATCAACTTAATGCAATCAAAGACTATATCAAAGACAACTTAATTCTCAAGGTCCCTTGACCCCTAAAGCTCTAAAATAATAGTCATAAACAACAAAATAATAATCAAATCATATATCACATATAATTGAATTAAAACACCTAAAACATATAGTATTTTAGTTTAAACTTTTACTTTACTGAGTGATATCCAAGCCATTTTCCACCCACCTTTTCTATTTTTCCCTTGTTTGTCATCCAATTAAAGCTTCCATCAACCCAAATAAGACCTTGGTCATGAGTTGCTACTTTTAGTTGTTAACAAATGATTTTGATACAAGCCCCTAGGTTCAACAACTATTTTGAAAGTGAGTAATTAAACGCATCATTTAA